ATAGGGAAAAATTACGGAAGTTCCGAGAGGGAGCTCGAATGCCAACTGTTTCTAGGACCGAAGGACAGTTTTTGTCACCTTTAAAAACACATATTAGGAACAAAGCGTCTATGTGGCGACGCCTAGTGTGGAGTGATCGCAGATTTAACATATCGAGCATATTGATGTAATGATATTCCGTGTCATGAAAAAATCGGTTGTGGCAAAGTGCTGCGAATTTTCTTTGTATACGCTCAAGTTTATTGGAGTCAGTGTTGTTCACAGAGTTCCAAACCACAGAAGAGTACTCTAATTTGGATCTGACAAGGGCAGAATATAACGTCATTAGACTGTCTAAGGTGGAAAAGGAGAAAGTGACAGTACGAATTAAGCCTAATAATTTTACGGCATCAAGTAAAGATTTTTAACGAAACCATATCTTGGACTAAGGAAACAAAGTATCTTGGTGTTACACTTGACTCAAAATTAACCTACCGTACCCACATATCCTGCATTTTGCGCAAAGCTAATTACAGGCTCAGGCAACTGTACCCTATATTAAATAAATCCTCCACCATTGACATTAATTTAGCGTTGGTAATTTATAAATCGCTCCTCCGTTCCATATTGTCATATGCCTCCCCCGCATGGGGCTATGCGGCCAACACTTACATAAATAAATTACAGACATTTCAAAATAAAGTCCTCAGGATAATTACAAAATTACCGAGGGTAACACCAATTGCAACCTTACATGAACAGACGGGAATGTCATCAATAAAAAGTCAATTCAAGAGGTTAGCGAGGGCATTGTACCAGAAGTCGGTAACCAGCAAAAACAGTCAGATTCAGGCACTAGGACACTACGATCCCACCGGTGATAAACATCTGCGTCCCTTACCCCTGCTTGCACTATAATCAGCTCTAAGATCTCTTTACAGGTAACCGGATGATTGAAACTCCCCAAACGCCCAGTTAACCCAGTTCCTCGGTCCTAGAGCAAATGCTGAGTTGGTACCCAAACTCCACGTTGCAAAGCATGCCTCACACGCAGCCCTCCCAACGTTAGGAAAAAAAAAATGCTCTAAATTTTACTATCATGCGCCTCTTCCAGCGTCATTCCAATTATATGCTCTACCTATACCAGAAGGTCAAGTGGGCACTGCCTGAGAAACTTCAAAATCGGTGACATAGTTTCTTACCCCACCCCAAATGTAGTGGCTCTCACTACCACCCTCACTTCTTCTTCTTCTTCTTCTTCTGTTTCGAGCTGCAGTTAGTCAGCCAGTGAGGAGAAGGCTAGGAGGTTGGTGTGAGTTGGCCGCTAGCCTAGGAGTCAGTCAATGGAGCAAAGAGTCCGTTGTGGGGTATTCACCAGCCAGTAAGGACATAAGCAGAGGACACTGTTAAGATCCGTTATCAGGAAACGACTAGTGAAGACATAGAAGGATTTAGGTACTGCAGTTACAGTGATCTTTAGATTGTGTAAACCAGTAAGGCTGTTATAGTTACTAGTATTTACGGGTTGTGTCCATAAGTGGTAAATAAATCGAGTCACCAATCCAAATCCCGTTTGTAATAACACTCATACACATGACAATATTATTGGCATGGACGCCAGGAGGGGGGAGGCAAGACAAGAATAATTTTGCCTCCCTCCCCACCGATTTTTTAAAAAATCAGAGCTGAAAAAACACAAAATTATTTTTAAATATGGCGCCATATGTCTTTGAATATGGAGACCTGCAACCCTAGGTAAAGGTAAATTTGTCCCTGTGCTTAACTAACTAAGCATTACTTCGTGAAGTCGTATGTGGGGTAGTGGATGTATAGAGCCACATTTTTTTACCTCGGCACTTGTTGGAGGTGAGTGGTCAGCTTCACGCCCCTACCGCTTTACCTCCGGGGAAAGAGCCCTTTGGTACCCATTGGATAGGGGACTGGGTGGGCCCCAGAGCCGGTCTGGACTACGTGGAGGAGAGAAAATTTCTGACCCTACCGGGACCCGAAGGGTGTTCTTTAAATATTTTGAAAAAGCTTAAACGTATGTTGTAAGCAAGTTGGAGGGGATCCTGACGTAGGTTTTGTGCGTACGGAATCGTATCTCACTCCGAAAAATATAAATGACATCGAAGCTATAAGAGAACATATTCTTGAGAGGTATAGTAAACCTAAGGGAAACGGTGTAGCCTAATAGATAATGGAGAAAGTCATTATTATTCAATTCAATTCAATTCAATTCAATTCAATTCAATTCTTTATTATTTATGTGCCGAGTCAACAGCCGCAAGGCCAATTACAGACAGAGCACAGTGCAGATGAAAGTAATTACATTATAGACAAACTTATTAAAGTCAAATACAAATTACAGGTAAGTACTTGGAAGAAACAATATTGAAGGAAAGTAAAAAAACAAACAAATAAATGATAATTATAACAGTAGTAATAATTTCATTATCATTAAACTAAGTGTTATTAAGAATTGAGTAATGAAACATAAATATTTACTTAAGAAATGAATAGTATAGATTTTCAGAGGATGATAATAATAATTCATTTTGTTTTATTGGACATGCAAATAATAAAAATACTAACAGTTATACTATATTTAAAATTTGTTTGGGTAGAACATTACTGGCTCCGAATACGTCAACCTCCCTGCAGACAACATTAGCAGCTGCTGCGCATCTAGCAGAGGGACAATTTTTAAATAAGGAGCAAACATTGAACAATGCAAAATCTTTGATATACCGAGCAGGAACTCGGAGACCAACAATTTCCAGGACAGAATCTTAACATGGATCATATGGAATTAAGATGTGATGGCATGAACTGAATTCAAGTGGCTTAGGTTAGATCCCCATGGCAAGATTTTGTGAATCCTGTATCGAATTCCCTAAAGGCGAGTAATTTCTTGACGGTCCGAGTAACTGAATTCTTCAATTAATATTCCGCACCAAGAGCCTGTAGTTAGTTCGACTTTTGCCGAAAACAAATCTCCATTGTTAATAGCGTGCATGCTCAGTGAAACTGAGATTTGATGTTTAAGATTGGAAACTATACGAGAAGCTGGAGGTGGGAACTCTTTAATGCTAACGATCCATTTATTGCATTAATGGTTATTCAAAATAATATTTCACTTCGACCGTGAAGGTGGAGGCAGCATGTACCTCCGAAATTCGGCAACACTGCCCAGGTTCCTACGGTTCAAAGACGCCAGAATAGAATCAACGACAGTAATGAACCATTTTTGCATGGGACAGTAGCGATTAACTTCGTGGCCAAAATACGAACTAGAGGCATGAAGCGTGTCAGATCTATGAAGTACTATATCTTTCTCCATAAGATATTTGCATTTAAAACCTTGTAGATGGCGGTAGTGAGAAAGAAGCTTCGGTTAAGTTTGTTGGCTCTGTTGGTTTTATCGGTATTGAATTGCTTGGAAGCTGTGTCAGAAAAATGAAAACATACAGTCGCAAGAAACAGCCACCAACATATGATTTTCACGACGCGCATATGGATTTCAATGAAATATGTAGGCTTTGCTTATCAGAAGAAGGAGAAAAGTTTCAAATTTTTGAAGATCTTGAGTTGGTTCCTCTCCCCTTGAGAATAATGGCTTGTGTTTCAATAGAGGTTGGTTAAATTTTGGGATTATGTTGACATTTTATGCGTATAATGTGTATACCATAATACTGGTTAATGGCTAACACTTATGGTTTAGAAAGGTTTTGGATTTCAGTATTGTTCAGGTGGATGCTGTTCGTGCGTTGCTTTATAGTTAGGTTGATTGGTTAGGGTTGGAATATAAATATTTTGGTTGTCGTATGATGAAGTGTATTTGGTCGGTTGAATTGCTTCTTAATAGGGCGATTGTTTTGTTTTTACCTACATTGTAATGAATAGATTTAATACCGTACATTAAATACTGTTATATGTTTCAATATGGTAACTTGATGTTGTGTGAATTTGTGCAAATAATCCCGAGTTCATTATTACAATGTGTCTCTACTTCTGTTTCTTCATTTTAATGACCATCAGTTATGTTACAAGAGTAATGGAAACTTTGTTGAGAGGAGCGTTAACAGGTTGAAAACTGAAATTGTTTACATCCTGCATTATCCATCTTCATTGTAGTTTACTATGGAAAAAGTTGTAAAAGTGCATTTACAATATAGATTTCTTAAAGTCATGTTTTAGAGAGACTTCTGAACCCATAGAAAATTTCATAGTTAGTTAGATTCTATTGGAGGAAATAATATGGAACAGGTACCACAAGAAATGTTTTCAATGTCATATATGAAGCACTGTTCCAGTTTATGGTTCCTTCATGTGGGAAATATACTATGTATGAATGTATGAGGGGTAGGCCTCCTCGGCCCTTGCACCGCGACCTACAGTGGTCTATCATGCTTCCAAATATACTATGTAAATATTCCTCAAGATGAAAATAAGTAATTAAAAAAAATGGAACTAAACAAAGTGACCCATCACTCAGGAGCACTGGTTGTGCATGATCCAAAAGTGGTGTTATAGCTGATATCTCTGTAAAGCTGGCATCCCCAAACACACTCGAAGGGCTGTGTTATATCTCACAGGCCACATGGTCAGACAGTTGAATAGGAAGATGAAGCTGTAAGACTGGGAGATGAAAATAGAAAAGCAAGGGGAATTGATGCTCATAGTGTAATGGACTGGACCGCCTCTGTGGTCTAGTGGTCGGAGTTCCTGGTTACAGATCCAGAGGTCAGGGTTCAATTCCCTGTGCTACCAGATTTTCTGAGTAGTGGGTCTGGGATGGTGTCCACTCAGCCTCGTGAGGATAATTGAGGAGCTATTTCAAAGAAATAGCGGCTCCCTCTAGAAAACCGAAATTAACGGCAGTGGGGATTTGTATCCGCTAAAGTTGGTACTAACTTTGTCAACAAGCAGGGGTCGGTCGGTCAGTATAGTTTGCTTGCAGACTAAAACCATGGAGTTTTTTTTTTTTTGGTTACTGTAATGAGCTTTAAAGTCAAGGAGTATTAGATGGGAATGTATCATGCATGAGAGAAAAGAGGAGTGTATACAGGGTTTTGGTAGCAAACCCTGAAGGATCACTTGGAAGACCAAGAATATAGATAGGATAATATAATATGGATCTGAAATAAATAGGGTAGAGGTGTGTGAAATGTATTCATCTGGCTCAGGTTGGAGACTGGCTGGCTCTTGGGAACATAGTAATGAACCTTGAAGTTATGTAAAATGCTGGAAATTTCTTTAGTAATAGCAGCACAATGTTTTCTTCTCAACAAGGACTCAACTGCATGGAGTTAGTTCAGTCAGCTGAGGTCAGAAGGACATGCAGTGTGATACACAAGAGAAATAACATTTATTGAAAATTATAAAAGGAAAAAGAGAATACTGTATTGCCAGACATAATCATGACAATTATACAAGCTAACTAATCTATATAAATAAAAATGTTAATTTATGTTATTGAAATGTTTTTATCCCTGTTGTCACAAAATTGTTTATACAGTATACTTCTTTTTTTGAGTTTGAAAGAGGGCATGTTTATAGGTAATTGAAATGCTTCAAGGCACAGATAATCCAACAGCGACAGTGTTATTTCAATAAATGTTTATTTTATTAACCCATTTATTGTATGGGAGCTGGGATAGCATAGTTGTTATAGTGACTGTCTACAGGCTGGATGACAAAGGGGTCAGAGTTTTAGTCCTGGTGGGGCAAGAATTGCCGCTTCTCCATGTTGTCCAGACTGCCTCTGGGGTCCACCCAACCTCCTATCCAGTGGGTACTAGGGGCTTTTCTGCAGGAGTGAAGTGGTTGGGGTGTGAAGTGGACCACTCACCTCCAGCTAGTACTGAGGTCAAGAAAATATGGTTCTCTACATCCACACATCCACTACATCATAGTATAGTGCTTAATTAGTTAACCTCCTATCCACTAAAACCATGGAGCTTTTCTGCAGGAGTGAAGTGGTTGGGGTGTGAAGTGGACCACTCACCTCCAGCTAGTACTGAGGTCAAGAAAATATGGTTCTCTACATCCACACATCCACTACACCATCATAGTATAGTGCTTAATTAGTTAAGCACAGGGACAACTTTATTCATTTATTGTATGCAAAGTTCCATCCTCCTGTACAACTCTGAAACAGTGGTGCCACTCACTTCTTGTTATTGCTGCCAAGCCTTGCCTATATAGTCTAGTGATCTTTCAGGCCTTCAGAATATCTGACCTTGGGGCGGTCCCGTATTGTTGAAATGAAGAGTCTCATGATGCCAGATCTGGACTGTATGCTCTGTTGAGTTCTTGTCATGGAGTAACAGAAATATCTTCAGCTGTCTTTTGTGAAGCTTTTATGTCATGTTGGGCACACTGTTGTATGTCATTGTGCAGTAACAGTACATTGAGTTTAAAATGTAATAGTAGCCACATGAACATCTGTTAGAAGGAAAGAAGTTGCATTTTCTTTCAATTATTTCTTGACCTTTTCACATGTGAAATGTCATCTGTGATGATCATAAGCTTGATGGCTGTCAGGTGTTCAGTTTTTGGGTCACAGTGGTAAGTCCAAGTCTTGTCACCTGTAATACTGTTATAAACTGAGTGAGAATCACTAGTCTGAAATTTCTTGAGCATTTTACATCAGTCTGCTCTTCTCTGTTTGTTGGCTTGTAAGATTATGATGTGCCCATCAACTAAACCATTCTCAGAAGTGATTATATAAGGGGGCAGCAACATGTAGGCTCATTCTGTCTCATTATCTTGGTAGGTTAATTACCGTTACATGTACACCCATTGCTAGGCTGCAGGTTGGTAAACAAGTTCCCACGAAGACAGATTTTTGGTAAACAGTCCATCGCTAGGGTACACAGAAATTCTGACAACAGAAGAAGTGTGTTCATTGTGGTCTGCGCCATACCCAGTGCTAAGCAACAGAACTGTAAACATGTCAACAGTAATAGGTGTATTCTATGGAGTCCATGCCAAAGGTTTATAGGTGACAGCGAAGGTCATTTGCAGTCAGTCATAGCTGAGAAGCCGTGAGTCAAGGACAAAGCCACCATGGAAACAAGCTGTGAGGATTCATCTGTGAAGTGTTAACGGACATTGAAGACTTTGTGTGCTATAGTCACAGTAATCTTGAGAGTGTAAGAATTAATAGCAATTACAACTAGTGAAGATCCAATAAACTGATTCACCAATCCAAAGCCATTTCTTAGTCACTGATACACGTGACATTATTATCATGGTCTCCACATGAAGTTTTTTTTTTCAACTGCTTGTATGGTCATTTACCAACTCTTGTCTTGATCCTTGAGAGATGTTCTCGTTATTGAATTCTGAGAACTACGAAAACTGAAATGTGACATATAACATAAATTGTTTGTTATTTAACAATGCTGTCATTATCAAGACAATATAGCATCAATGATTCCATGGTTGATGAGTATGTAACTGTTGGTGGAATGAAAATTGGCAGGGAACACCGAACTACTTGGAGAAAATCAGGCTCAGTGCCACTTTACCCACCACAAATCTCACATGACCTGACCCCGGGATTGAATCTGGGCTGCAGTGGTGGAAGCTGGCGGCTAACCATCTGGGCTGTGGCGCAGTGCCTATCAACATCAACCACAGAGTAGTTTTGAGTGGTCAAATTCAGAACCAATAAATCAGGCATAATATGTGTAAAGGTACTATAGCACACATACTTTTCCAGGTTTTTCAAGGGGATGGCTTGCCGTCCCAGATATGTCAACAGTGTATTGAAGAATTGGACAGCTATTACAGATTCAAGCAGAAATGTGAAAACTCGGATGCCAGGCTCAGACAGCATCTGAAAAATATGAAGACAATACAGTTACAAGCTAAGACACCTCAGGTACAGTGTAGTAAGGCTACTTGCACTTACTTTTAAAATTAAATATACATCTGACTACATGTTAGACATGAGAATATTTTTTTTCCATTTTTGTATCTGTCACTGCTTATTTATCTATTGTGAGCTGCATGAAAGCGTAATTGATAGACAAGTGATTGATCTAAACTATGCAAGCTGGAGTTAGAGAGTGGAATTGAGGACAGAAAGAAAGATGTAGCATTTTTTTTTTTTTTGGTAGTGAGGTTGAACTAAGTCCCTTGCCCTGCGACCACTTCTGGCCTATTGTACCAGCCCCAGATAATAGGTGAGGGTGATTGTGGAGGAATTGGTGGAATGAAGATTGGCAGGGGAAACCGAAGTACTCAGAGAAAACCTGCCCCAGCGCCACTTTGTCCACCACAAATCCTACTTGACCAGACCTGGGCCACCGTGGCGGGAAGCCAGTGACTAACCGCTTGAGCTATGGCACGGCCCATCGGCCCATTTAGCGTATTACTTCAGAAGCATGCATCCTTTTATTTAACATACCTGTACGTTCAGTAGCCGAATGATCTTCAGTTCAGTTCTCTTAAGTAGTTTTCTGTTTTCTGGTACATATAAAAGTGCTTGTGTTCCAGCATCACATAAATATGGCAAAAACATTCAGAAAATTATAATTTATTTCACATAATTATGTTTGGTTTCATCACATTACCCACATGATTATCATAAAATTAAATATATGTGGTCAACTATACGGCAGAATATGCTTTTTCATATTATTTCAATCAAAATTCTTAGCTAATCAAAATATATTGATGAAATAAGAGTGGAGCCAATCATATTGACCATGCAGGGTGCTGCATGCATGTGTACTGTCTCTGATTGACTGTTCAAACATTTCAATCGTGGGTCCAAATCCCACACAGGTTTGTGTAGGTAGAGATCTGATCGAATGCTGGTATCATGGGTTTAAATCTCACTTGGGGCATTGATTCTTTTTCCAAAGGTGGGGTAGGTAGAGGGCTTGCAATGGGCCAGTGCCAAAATCTGTAGAAGGTTCACAGTGGCAGATGTTCATTCCTTATTTCTTTCACTTGCCTGTGAAGCATGACTATCATACTTCGCTTGATTTAATTGCTACAACAAATAGGCTGATTTGTACCCATTTCATTTTCAGACATCAGACATGGTTAAAGGAAATGGAGATTCAGATTGCAGTGACACAGATGATTCGTTTACACAGGAGGACCAGGATGAACAAGAAATCATAAAAAACATCAGAGAAGATATTGAAAATCATAAGAGAAATAGCGTAAACAGTGGTTCAGTTGATGAAAGTATAAACTATAAAGAAAAAACAGTTGCATGTGAGAAAAGTAATGAAAGGCAGGATGCTCTGCAAATTGCAGGATCTTCTGAAAGTTATATGCAATCCAGTTTCAAGCAGCCTACAAATATAACAACGTTAGCAGTGAAACAGGAACGAGCAGAAGCTGAACATTCCAGTGCAGCTATGGAATGGAGCCAGAATGTTCAGAGTGCCACTCAGAACCAAGGACAGCAACCGAATAACGCATCTGCTGCACAAGGTGTGGATACACTCCCTTCTATTAGCCATCTGCAGCATTTTACTGAACAAGGTTTGCCATTCATGTGCACTAAATGTCCAAAGAAATTTGCAAAAAGAATTGATTTGCGTCGTCATGAATCAGTTCACAATCAACAACGAGGTTTTGAGTGTCCTGTATGTGAAAAATGGTTCCCTAATAAGACAAGTTTTGGGCGCCATGAGCGCACCCACACAGGTGAACGCCCATACTCTTGCAGTCTGTGCGAGAAGAGCTTCTCACAAGGAGCTATCCTTGCTCGCCATATTATGACCCACACAGGAGTCAAACCATTTAAATGTGAAGTCTGCAGCAAGGGGTTTACACAACGAGAGGGTCTTCGTGTCCATATGCGGCAGCACACTAAGGAGCAACCAGAAATACAGCTTCATGAATGCCCTCTCTGTGAAAAGTCCTTCTGCCACCCATCTGGTCTCTCCAGACATCTAATCATACATACTGGGAAAACGTTTGATTGTACTATATGCCCTAAAGTTTTCACAGATTCTTCATCACTGAGGAGACACATGAAACGTCATGAGGATAACTCAGAACCCCCATTAAATCAACCACCACAAGAACATGATTCGACATAAGTCATGGCATCAGTACAGTTCACTATAAGTAATGACTTTTGAAGCACTTCCTGGAGTATATTGCTATGTTTATCCATATCTTTTCACAGCTTTGCCATTACACTGAAGTCTTTGGAAGATACAAGATATAAAGTTTTCCATTTTTATCAGTCAGTGTAGTTATTGTATGATAAATGTATGTTGTACATGGCAGTTCTCATGTCCTAGAACATAAGTAGCTTTATTTTTTGTTGTTATTGTTATAAACTTAACTGACATTTTCCTGATATATGTATAGGTATATATTTGTAGATTTTTTAGTTTTGAAATTCTTCTCAGTATTGGAATGGTATTTTACTTGTATCATGTATACCGTCTATTGGGAAATACCAAATCAAAAAGCTGTTGCAATAAACCTCTTCTCTTTAATGAAAAGTTGTTTCAGTTCACATTATTGTGATGTCAGAAGTTTATAGTTTGGACTATAACAAGCTGAGAATATAAACTTGTGTATTTTATCATTTTTGTTTGGTTAAATCACAGGGTTTGAGCATAAGTTGAAAAAATCTTACCATTTATGCATAAAATAATATCAGTCTGAAACAAAATGGAAATGTACATATTGTTCATGCAGGAGTTTTTATAATCTTTGCCTGTCATCAGAGTAAATTTATTAATACAAAATGTAGCAGCCACTGGATTTCTTTATAATGAAAATTTGAGAATGTTTATACCTAGGGACATAAAATTTGAGTTCGTAAAAATTTATGGACATAAGGCTGACAGCCTTACTTCCATCTTTGAGCCGATTGTCTAGATAATGTGGGACCCTCAACGTCTCACAACCCTATGGGCCTTCACAGCCTGCTACAGGTATAGCTTTACTTTTTTTTTTACTTTATAATAATTATATTCATGAAACTTTCATGTTTGCGGGAAAACTATAAGCAGAATTTTAATGTGATTATAAAGGTGAAGGTGAAGTTTCATAGTTAAGTACCATACCATGCAGATGTATGGAGGAGTGCTGGTATAGCTCCACCATGCCACCATTTATTGTGATAATAGTAAATTTTATGAAGTAAGTCATAAATAACCAGATAAAACAGACTGTCAGGTGGTTTCCTAACATTGTGCTACACTGACTTATCAAGTGGCCAAGACACTTCACCTGGTTGTTATATCTACTCTACCAAATGCATAGCTATTCGCTTAGTGGGGGGTGGAGTCCAGCTGGGTCCAATCAGCATGGCAGCCACTGATTGGCGTATTGTACCTGCCCGGGTGATTGTGATGATGGAGAATTTGGTGGAATGAAGATTGGCAGGGGAAACCGAAGTACTCGGAGAAAACCTGCCCCAGGGCCACTTTGTCCACCACAAATGCCACTTGACCAGACTCGGGATCGAACCCGGGCCGCCATGGTGCGAAGCCAGCGGCTGACCGCTTGAGCTATGGTGCGGCCTAATGCATAGCTATGAACAGATGTCTGCTATAATCACATTACACCCAAGGTATCACCTTGGCATTTTCATGAGACCATGTAATGAGTTATCATACCATTTAGGTTGAAAATAGCCTCCATCTGTTATACCACCAGGACAGGAGACAGCAGACAGCAAGTCCTTTCATCCAGCCAAGAACAGCGAGATTTACTGTGAGTGTGCACTAAGGCAGAAGAGATGAACATTCCTTCTATGTAGTTGGTCAGTCTGTAAATGTGTAAATTTACATTACGGAGGTCCTGCTAGAAAAATTAGTATGCATTAGCCTGAGAAACTCCCTCACATATCTGAATGTACTGTAAGTATTATGAATGGAAGGATTTCATGATTTAATATTGTAATGGTTCTGTACTGTGGTTAATTTTGTTCCAAAGATGATAAATTTTTAATTGTAATATTGGTATGCAGCATGTATATCAATTATTCAAGATCTGAAGAACACATAAATTTTTATGTATTATTAAAAGTACAATAGACCACTGTAGGTCGCGGTGCAAGGGCTGAGAAGGCCTACCCCTCATACATTCGTGTATTACTAAAATTTAGTATCTGTGCAGATAAAAAACATGTTTTTTAAATATTTTACTACTGGGCCACATGTTTTTATGTCAAAACACCATCTTTAGGCCAGAGTACTGCCTACAGAGATAAACAGCCGAGTGTATTTTCCAAAATATTACCACGTGATATTCAGTTAAAGTTTTCTGAATTGGTCCACTTGACAAATATCACTTTGGTAATAAATGATGTTTTGATATTTGCTAAATGAATCCATTCAGTAAACTTGCATTTCATGTAGTAAAAGTTCATGTTAAAGGAAAGTGCATTTTGTGGTTTACATTTGTAGTCAGTAGATTGGTCAAGATGGTGGTTTTGACACTGAAACATGTAGCTCAATAGTTTCTGTGCCTTAGTATCAGCATAAAGGTGTGTAAGGGGAGTGAACTCAAGTTCCACACATTATTTCAACACTCAAGGCGAATGAGCACCTTCATACTCCACTAATATGCTTTTGTAAAAATTACACCACATATGAAGGGGGACCCAAAAATAACCGGAACCGACCTGTTGCGCGCGCGTGCTTTGTAGTTATGAGTTGTGCTGCTAGGCGGTGTTAGCTGGGGGTCTCCCGCGACTGTTAGTGAGCTGGCGTCAGTCTGAGTTAAGTGGTTTGTCTGTGGTGCTCTGTTGTGTGCGTTCCTGTTTCAACCCTTTGGTGATTAGTGAGATGGCCGACCAGAAGGAACAAAGAGTGTGCGTGAAATTTTGCTTGATGAAGATTGTCGAAAGACCATTGACCAACTTTCTGAGGAAACGAACATCTCGTGGAGCACGGTCCAGCGAATTTTGACCGAAGGTTTGCACATGAGACGGGTGTCTGCAAAATTTGTTCCTCGCTTGCTCAGAGATGACCAAAGAGAAAACCGCGTGAATGTTTGCCGCGACTTGAAGAGTGAAATACAGAACGATCCAGAATTTCACGCACACTCTTTGTTCCTTCTGGTCGGCCATCTCACTAATCGCCAAAGGGTTGAAACAGGAACGCACACAACAGAGCACCACAGACAAACCACTTAACTCAGACTGACGCCAGCTTACTAACAGTCGCGGGAGACCCCCAGCTAACACCACCTAGCAGCACAACTCGTAACTACAAAGCATGCGCGCGCAACAGGTCGGTTCCGGTTATTTTTGGGTCCCCCCTCGTATAACTGATGTGAACAAACACTTGTGAGTCACTTGCATAGTGACTGGTGACATCAGGGAGCCATCCTAGTGACTTAATATTTTCTGACAAAAGAATAGAGAGTTTGGGGATTTGAAATGCTCACAGTGGTGACCATGAAGAGTATGTTGTGGGTTATAATGCCATTCTGTTTGAAAAGAGTTGCTTATTTTTCAGAAACATACGTTTATTGTCTCCATCTTTAGGGTTGAATAATCCAACAAGAAACCAGCAGAAGCAGGTGGCAAGCACAGCTAGCTGTCTGTGTCTGCTGGTTTCTTGCTTGGCTTACCCTTGGGCCCTGAATATGATGACATTCCATTTCTCCCAAATGTTGGGCTGCTTCCTAACTGTGCAATGCTACAGCCTAGAAGACCGTGCTCTTCATAGTCCCTTCTGCTTGTGTTGGTACACCACTCTTACAGGGAGAGCTTTACAACAATCCAACTCCCATACAGGCCCAGTAAATATGTGCAACCAAGTACACATCAGTATACATGATGAATAGGAAATATAGGTCTTCCCTAAGCTGACCAGGATTTGGTGGAGAAGTGAGAAAATCCTGCTTGTGACATCAGTGAAATTCCAGTTATTTGGCCAGTTACCCTTCTAACAGAGCTGTCAGACCTCTTATTACTGAAATAACATAAGATGACTGAATATGTCAGAAATAATTATGAATTAACATTTCAGAAAATAGTAAAAATTAGATGAAATAGGAAAAATGTGGGATTGATTCTGACCAAAGATCTGAACATGAAGAAGGTATGTTGAAAAATGATAACAAAAAGGTTTGTGTTAAGCAAAAAAAGATAAGAAATTTTGTTATTAATTTTCAGCAAGTTCCCTGAAAAATTTGCTCATGAAAAAAGAAAGTGACTGGTGATGAGATTTTGGTCTCCTGGCTTGACTTGGAAACAGACTGACAGATTCTGAAAATGTATTTATGCTTTATTATGTCAGTTTAGTCTCAGTCACGCCTTTAATTAACTAACCTCATGGAGCTGAGCCCTTCTTGAGAAGCTGCCAGTTGTGCAGCTATTCAAGAACCTCCCATTACCATGTTCACAAGAGCCCTCCACTGGTCCCTATCCTGAACTAGATCAATCCAGTCCATACCACCGCATTCTATCTCTCTAAGAGCAGTCTTAAAATTATCCACCCACCTAGGTCTTAGTCTTCCTAATGGGCTATTTCCTTCTGGCTTTTCCAATATCCTATATGCATTCCTCTTCTCCATTTGCACTACATGCTCTGCCCATCTCACCCTCCTTGACTTGATCATTCTAATTATACTTGGTGAAGAGTACAAGTTATAAAGTTCCTCATTATGCAGTTTTCTCAAATTTCCTTTCTCGAAATTTGCGGCATAACAGTTTATCTTCCTATTTTAATCATTTCTGCCCGAATTTGATCACTACCTGGCGATTTATACCGTTTGAAGTTTGCTATAGCAATTTCAGCCTAAGAAGGACTAGGATCAGGTACTAACAGCTCAGCTATATGTATTTCTATCTGCCTAACATCACATTTATTTATTTATTTATTTACTTCATATCCATGGATCATTGTACATGATATAGGACAAGTCAAATACTACAATAAGAATAATAATAATATAATGAATAATATAATAATATACTAAGATAATACAATGATTCTAATAATAGAACTAATATAATTGTTTAACACATGACACCGCTGTATGCCTCAAGACCCGATTCTTCTATCCCAGCACAAAATACCCTGGTATCCTCAATCTCGTTCCTGTAAGAAAAAAAATACAGAGTAGTGCAGTAGGCATTCCTATAACATTACTAATATTAAAATTATAAGTTAATTTTTCTTGAATCGATGGAGGCGCGTCTAGAAGAAGAAGGAACTATGGCCTACCAAGAAATGGAGGCACGTCCAGAAGAAGATGATGTTTTTATAAGACTATATACACTTAAAATATTTATGATGCTCACTATATGTAGGTGTTAATTTTCCATTGTCGAAATTGTCCATTGTCTATTTCTACAATGGAAAATTAACAACTACATATAGTGAGCATCATAAATATTTTAAGTGTATATGGTCTTAAAAACGTTTACGTATTGGTGGGTTCCTGATCATAGTGGTATACTTCCGATGATGATTCATTAAGAATCGAAACATGTTAGGTAACTAAGTGCTGAAGTGGTGAAGGCATTATATGTCAC